CAAGGCAGCACACAGGTAGTCCTTACTCCACAAGGTTGCTTAGCAACCATTCAAAATTATGACAAATTCTCTAAAAGGTACTTACAACCTGATTTCGAAGTTCCAATAGCTGTCACCTCTCACCCCACAATCATGCGATTGCATTTGGGGCACTAGGCCACTGCTCTCATTTACGTGCTTTGCAATATCCCACAGTCACATTTCCAGTTATTTTTGCCAGTTTCCAGCATTTATTTCCCATTTCTGGCAAAAAAAATATTTCTCATTTGGGATAATAGATTCATGAAACTATTGTGGTGTTTGCTTAACCACTGCTGCAAAATTGGTCACAAAATTAGGAGTGATCATGTTAACTGCCACAACTTAGAATCATAATTCTGGGTTAAATTATGATTGAAAAACAAGGACTACCTATACTCAGCATTTTCTCCTTTAATGTCCCTTAAAACAGTTCTCTAAAGCAATTTGGGCTGGGAGAAATTTATTGCCCCAAAGCTCCCTCACCTGAAATTAATTAGAAACTAGCTCTAATTCAGTACTTTAAGCACTATACCACTACCAACCTCTCCAAGCTGTTTGTTACATCTAGAAAAAAGTCCATGAATATAAAATATCAGAAAGTATTTCTGCACCAACCAACATCTAACACAACTGAAAAGTTTGTTGCAGAAAACCAAGACAAACAGGGCCTGCCCAAACGTTACATGAATAGCAAATTGACTTCTTAAATGTGCCTATTGTCCTTCTCTGATTATTGCAAGGTTTATCTTCTTAATCTAAAGAATTAATTATTCATGTGCATTGCAGAGTTTCTCTTCAATAGTTCTTTTCCATTGTTTTCTATGCTTTCCAAATGAAAGAATTAACATGCATTATTAAGATAAGTTACTTCTGCCCATTTCCAGACACTGCCTAAGAGTATTTTGTTTAGAGATTTATGCATAATGACAAACTATGTATCAAAAGAATCCAGAGGCAGTAACATACAGAGAAGCATTGAGACCAAAGCACCACTGAAAGATTTTTTTAAAAAAAATTTACACACTTGTGCATGCAGGCACACAAAAATATATTACATCCTTATCCTATAATAATTATTTTACTCAGATTCTTGGAGAATATTTCAGTGATTGGGGAATTCATGTTTAAATCTGTAGCTTAATTTAAAGCACACCACCAAAGCATTTCACGTTAATTTGAAAGTTTATCAATCTACCGCTTATTTTAGAACTTTCACACTACGCACAATTAAAAATTGGACACAAGGGATGAGCATGTTTAAGTATGAATTAAATTGTTCTGCAGTCGTTTTAACTGCATTGTTTTCCTTCCTAACTTCTGCAGGAAACAAGAAAGTATACTTTTAAATACACCTTGCCTTGAGATGTTGGAACACTGCCAATGTACAATTTAATATGCGTACACTATGTACCAGAAAATTAACACTTGCCCAAATATTCTAAATGCTTTGAAATGTTTATTATCTTCTTGGGAAATAGTTTTGAGTTCAATAGGGGTGTCAGGAAGTATTCTCAGTTTATTTTTGTTGACATATGTATTCTGATAGGCAAATAGCTTCTCTAAACGCTACAAAAACTGATTACTCAGGTTTTGTCTCCTAATGTGCTACAGTAGGATACAATTCAGTCCCCCACATGTTAAAACAAAAATGATTATTATAATATAAACAAAGTTTATCGGGAACTCTAACCCATTGGGATTAATGATACATAATACGGAAAAAGAATATGTTTTATTTTCTTAGGTACAAGTACTTTCTTACACCCAATCGTCCATGGTAAATTTTAGTATATTGCCTACTACGAAAATACCGATAAAGGAGAATGTCTGTAGCTCAGGGTGAGCTATTATGAAAGATTTCCCTTTCTCCTATTTGCCTATAGAAGTTACCATCATTCTCTTGTCCAACTCCTTTTTGGTTCTTCAGGTTTATTTCTATATACTGATATTTAGCACAGCTGGCAATACTGGCCATGTTATCAGCTTTACAGCACTCTTGTCTGCAGCCCATCAGAGGAAAGTGACTTTCGCGTGACAAGCCCAGTTATATTCTTGGGCAATAGCCTTAGTATCAATGTTCTGCTTCTGGAGATATGCTGATGTACTCTGCCTAAGTATATTTGCATGACCTAATATTTAGAAAACAAAATCAGACGTTTTTGAAGGAAGACACACAGACCTGTCCTATTTAATCCAAACCTAAGCCATTGCCTATAGCTATGATTACATAAACTGTCTAGAACTGATTAATTATAGAAGTCTTTACACAGCTTATTCATATACATGAATGCCAGATAATACATGTAGGATTATGGATTTAGAATAGTCAAAGAGAAACACAGAGCCTCCATTAAATAAATATGGCTCACATTTTATCTATCTGCAGTTAACATGATCCTATGTAATGAAGATCATCCAGTTGCATCTCTGCAAAGATCTGCTTTATTATAAATTATTTAAAAACAAACAAACTCAGAATGTAACTGAAATTAATAGAATGCCACCAGATGAAGGCTGCAATCTTAAGTATATTTTCCTGATTATAAATCCCAGTGAACTCAGTAAAACCTATTTCCGAGAAGACAAAATTATGTTATAAGAATCATTGTTCACACTAGGGAGCTATTAACTTATTTTCCATATACACATTCAAACTATTTTTATATTGTTTTAAATATTATACATATCCCAAGCAGTTACTTCCACATCAGGGCTCCTAACATTATGATAGAACAGAACAAAATAACAGAGTTGGAAGGGACCTTGGCTTCTAATCCAACCCCCTGCTCAAGCAAAAGACCCTATACCATTCCAGATAAATAGTTGTCCAATCTCTGATTTTCTAAGCAATTTAGTAAATGACAGTTCACACAAACTATATTAAAGTACTTGACTTCACTTAACTTTTTTTTCAATTCACTACACAGCGTTTTGCATTTGCCATCCTGAAAGCAAAAAGTTGCGTTTACATTTTTAGTTGGTGCACTCATCCTAAAACTTTTTCCTAGGACTGTATTCATAATTTAATTTAACATAGTTCTCAAGTTTTCCGGAGCCGGCAAAGTTATAATAAAAAATCATCAACCAAAAGAAAAAGATGTCTCAAAACAATGAATGCATATGTATGAAAGTGAATAATTAATAGAAATTTAAAATTGTCCCAATTCTGAAAAGTTATTTTGAACATAACTCCTACTCAAGTTAATCTACTTTCATTTACATCAATATGTTTTGGAGATTTAATTACTTCTACAATAAAATAGAATACAATAATTAGGAATCATTTATTACCTAAATTTCATTCCAGTGATTTTTTTTTAAGTGTCACGCGACAATTTATTTCCTGGTATTGATGTGGGATTTCTCAGGAGTAAACATAACCAGGAATCCCAGCAATTTGGTTTATCATACAATTCCTATCTACAGTTTAAATCATTCTTCCAATTTTTGGTTTTTGCCAACTTAGTTAGCTTATACATACTTTATTCCACAAGCAGTTCTCACAAGATGTGCCACAGATGTAGAATCACAGGGTCTCCTAACAGCCAAAAGAGTGAGAGAGAGGCCACTTGCTTTCCAAAGATTTTTGGCCAGAATTGGTATCACAACTCCTTGCCTCACAAAGTTGTCAGATACAATTTGCACATGCAGCTATTCCAGTGGCTGGGAAGAAGAATTTGGCATTAAAAACCCACCAGATTTTTGTCCCTCCCATGCGCTCAAAACCTTCAACCACTCATTTGTTCTTTTCAGAACCAGACACCCTGATTTCCAAGAAAGTCACAATACTCCTTAATAAGAGCTATTCTTCCCAAATGCCACTAATAAAGCAGCAAAAGACAAAAGCAGTGTTCTCAGCAGCACAAGAAGTTCTCTCAACAGCTCACTATGCTTTTTCACTGAAATTTACACAGGCCTCCTAAAATATCACTGCTATTGATTCAACCCATGGCACCTCCACTGTACACAGCAGCAATCCAAACCTTCCCACCCACCCAAATTGTGATGGTTATAAGTTGTGTGCAATTTTAGTACCAAGCTTTATTTAGCATTTACTAGTCTTAAAGCACCTCGGTTTACAGCCCCTGCAGACTGTTTCTAGGCAAGATAGAAGGGTCACTCACTTCTCGATAATAATAATAATATAATAATAATAATAATATAGCAATCTGTTTCCTCGCCACTGATGCCCAGACGAGATGCGTTGGATAAAAAGAAACGGGGAAATGGTAGAGAATATTAGAAGGGCAATTAATGTCTATCTTCAACTACAGAGCCAAAAAACCCCGAGAGACTCAGGCATTTATCGGATTCAACAGCCTTTTCAACAGTTCGTCTACTCGTGTTGCAATTCAGGGCAAATTTACAGTGACTGCGGCCAGGACTTATTATCTTCGGTGGACAGGAAAAAACGTGTTGAATGTGGGCATTCCTGCAATGTCTTCCCCTGGGCTGCCAGCGCCGTCTGCCCGCAGTCTCCGGCAGTCCCGCGTGCCTGGGGTTAGTTAGGAGCTGCCCTGTAACGCAACCATTATGACGGCGGCTAAACGCTTAAGCGCATTTTCTTCCCGAAGCCGCCTCCGCTTCCAAGCCGCAGGGCACGGGGGCTTCCACGGGGGCTTCCACGGAACCCCATGCAGCGCTTTGCAGCGGCTCCTGGAACTTCCTCTGTTCGGCAAAAAGCTCAACCAAGCGCGGGCGGGGAGGAGAGGAGAGGCAGGCAGGCAGGAATAGGAAGCGGCTTTCCACGCGCCGCGCTTGCAGCCCCGAGCCCGTCGCGGCGGGGGAGGGGGGTGGCAGAAGCAGCAGTAGCCCAGCCAGCAGCGAAGCCCGCGGCCTCGCGCGCCCCTTCTAGCCCCGGGCTTGCAAGAGGCCTCGCTGAGCCCGCACAGGATATCGCCCAGCCGCGCAGCGTCCCGGTCCCCTTGGCGTCGCCCTCGCTAGGCCGCCCAAATCCCCGCGGCAAACCCGCTCCTCACCTTCCGCGGCCAGCTCTCCGGAGCCTGTGTCCGCGCGTCTCCCGCACCGAGCCAGGGGAAAGGAGGCGATTCTGCAGAAGCCGCCCGCTTCCCTCGCCTTCCACCGCAGCCGCGCCGCTCCCTCCCGCAGACGCCGCCTCCGTCCCAACCAAGGCAGCCCTAGCCGCGCAAAGGCTGGCCGCCCTTCTCAGCTCGCCATTCGCTCCTCCTCCGCTCCGTCGCCCCTGCCAACCCGCCCCGCGCCTAGGGGACCCAAGCACCGCCTCCCCGCCTGGCTGGGCTGTCACGCTGCTAGCTGGCAGGCGGAGGAGCCGACGGGCTGGTTGCTGGTGGCGGCCCCCCTCGCGCTTTGCCACCCCGTCCTCTTTGCAGGGGGGAAGCAGGGAAAATGGTGGCCCCGGAGAGGGGCGCAGTAGAAGGGGAAAGCGTAGGACCTGGACGTCTCCCTCCCCCACCGCTTGGCCCTTTCTCACTCGCTATTGAGGTTCGGAAGGGAACTGGCCAAGGCGACGCCAGAGCCTCGGTTGCTTCATGCGGGATTGCGCTGCAGCCCGTGTGTGCGCGCGCGTGTGTGTGTGTATCTGTGTAACTCCAGCACTGAAATTCCAACGCAGGCAGACACGTGCGCGCGCCCCCGCGCAGCCCGCTGCCTTAATCACATTAATTTAGTAGTCGGGCTCGTGTGTTGCGCGACGTTGATGTCTGAGGCGGGTCTGTCTTCGCATTAAAAGTTTGATGACAGAAAGAGTAGGCAAGGCGAGGGATTAAAAAGAAACAAGCTGAACTTTCTCCTATAGTGGAATTCCATAGGTAATCAAAACAGCCTTCCCTGATCTGCTTTTGGGACCTGCTGGAAGGTACAGGTAGCCTTCGACTTACAATAGTTTATTTATTTATTTATTTATTTGATTTGTCAAACGTTTATAATAGGTATAAGAATAAACATGAGTATGAATGAAATGGGTACCAACAAATGGGGACAGTAGGCACAATGGTGCACTTATGCGCATCCTTACAGACCTCTTAGTGACCATTCAAACTTACAACATCACTGGAAAAAAATGACTTCTGACCATTTTTTCCACTGTTACAATGTTTGTAGCATTTCCCCATGGTCAGGTGATCAAAATTCAGATGCTTGATAACTGGTTCAAACTTATGATGTTTGCTGTGTACCAAGGTCATATGATCAATGTTTGCAATCTTTTGACAAGCAAAATCTATGGGGAAGCCACATTGACTTAACCATCTTATTAACTTATCAACTGCAGTGATTTACTTAACTGTGGCAAGAAAGATAGTAAAATGGGGCAAAATTCACTTAACAAATGTCTCACTTAACAACAGAAATGTTGCTCTCAATTCTGGCTGTAAGTCCTGTACTCTGCAAATATGGCCCCAAAACACAAATTTCAAAGAGCTTGGTTTTAATATGGCCTGTAGCTTTATAAATAATCTAAGAAAATGAAAGACCATCTCATAGAGTATTAAAGTGCAGATTCAACGTGAGAAAAAATTCTTTAAATAAAATACATATAGAGATGAGTTGATTGTAAATTTTAAATTGCAACAGCTCATTATGATTGTGAATATACTCATATTACACAAACCACTAGGGTGTGCAATCCTGTGCATTTATCAGAGAGTACCAAAAACATTGGATTGAAATGCATTTTTAATGAGAAATGTGAACAATTTGGCGACGGGATCTTTCCATTTAAACATCTGTAGGATTGTATCCAGTAAAAAAAAAAAAAAAAAAACAATCAGGCTTTCATTACATTCCTCATTCTCTTACTTTCCTCATACTAATTTATCACAACCAGAAGCTCCATTCTTAACTTTCTCATTTACCAATTCCAAAAAAAGGTTTGATTTTTTCTGGCATTCTGTCACGTGATGTCAGAACTTGTACTTTGGGAAAACAACAAAAATGTTTTTGAAGCTGTACCTGTTTGGGTTCATTCCACTAATAAATTATTGTGTAGCTGGGAGGAAACCCTTTCAATAATTTGCTGGAGGATGAAGAGAAGTTATATTCCACAATTTAGGATGGGGAAGCAGCTGAAGGGAAGGGCAGTGGCTGACAAGGAACTATTGAAAGATGCTGGTTGCACATTCAATAGGGAGGGAAAACATATTTTTTGAGATTATTTTCTTGTAGAAGAATCTTAGTACACCTTTCCACTTGCTTGTGTCAGGTGCAGGAAATTGGGAGCCAAGATAGAATTCAAAAGCATTACGAGTTTATTCCATGCACAAGAATCTGATCTACTAATAGCCAAGGCAAATTGGCACTACAAGAATGGATTTCAAGTGGGGCTAGATTTAGGTCTTTCTGTGGGTGGCATATGACTTCAAACTGAGGGTGCATTTGACTCTTCCCTTGGCGATTAGCTGGCTCATCTCCTGCATCATGTTTGTTGAGCCAAACAGAGGCAACACTCCCTCAATTACATTAAAACAATACATTCATGCTAACCATCATGCTATTCTCTTTTGTGATAAGCAATATCATGCAAAGTGCATAAAAGGAATAGGAGGTAATAAGGAAAAGAAAGTAAAAACAAGTGCTGGGAATAAAATAAAGAAAATCTTTACCAGTCTAATTTATACTAACAGTCACTATACAGTACAGCACTTCACCATAGTCTCTGTCCTTGAAGTCCACTATTGTTTCCATTGTATCTGAACATCTTTTAATCTTTAGACTTCTCGCCTCTTTTTGAAGACCTCATCCATTCCACCCAGCTCTAACTCTTTCAGAATTTTTCTCAGTCTTTTCCTATCTTTGTTCTGCAATTCCACTCTTATACCTTCTTTTTCTTTCACCAAACCACCTCAGTATATTTCTTTTATATTTGTTTCTCAGTTTTCTATTCTGTCCATATTTATTCACCCCCATTTTTTCTTGGTCTATTTCTGTTCTACCATTTGCACTCTTAAATAATTCACTACCTTGCATTCAGCTTACTTTGGTGTCTCTCTGATAGTCCACCTCTCATCATCCTATAACAAAGTGGGCAGAGGCTTGCTTTTATGAAGGAGCATTTCGCTTAGTTTGACAGTTATCCCTCACAACAAACTACATGCTACTCATTACCAGTCTGCCCACTGTTACGAGTGAATATCTTAAGTATTTGTGTGTATGTGCTTCCTCGTAGGTGGGATATGAGGTCAAGTTTGTTTGCTTCCAAGGAAATATCCAGATAAGAGATCTTAAGTTTGTACAGAATAGGATGAACTTGCTTGGTTTAAAATGGATTTGACTATATTTGCCATCTACTGGCCCATACTGACTACATTTGTGTCTTATTAGCCTGGAAGGCTGCATATGGCATAATGAAGATGAAGACTGGTAAATTTATCATACTAAAAATTACATTATCATCCTAAAAACACAAAGCACAACCATATTATATGGAAACTTACCTGAAACCCTAGATAACTACCTGACAGAAAAGCTCATGACATACAGAAAAACGGGGGGAAAATCACAATACACAAATGGATATGTCCTCTTTTCAAAGACATTTAATGTGTTGGGTATCCTAAAGGTATCAGAAATGTAACTGTTTTGATGTTTTGGTTTCAAGGTTAATATAAAGTTTAAACAGAACCACTGTAAAATTAAATGAATACTTGTACAGTATGTAGTTTCACTTGTTCTGGACTGTACACTTAAAAATGAATATTGCTTCTTATACAGGCAGTCTTCAATTTAAAGTTGTAATGGAGCCCAGTATTTCCATCCTATGTTATGATGGTCATAAGTCAAGCACCTACATGACTAACTGATTTTACATTTTTTTGCGTTTTGCATTTTGCATTTTTTAGGCGAGCAAGCTGGTTGTAAAACAAGCACTGGTTGTTAAGTGAATCATTAAGGAAACCTATTGTTGGCAAAATTTACAATAGACATTTTTTGTCAGAAATTGGAGGTAAACCCTGGTTTTCAGCAAAAAAAAAAGTCATAAATCACAGTCATGTGACAGTGGAATACAGCAAATGGCTGCTAAGCACCCAAAATGCAATCACATGACGTCCAGGGCCATGCTGCTAGAATAATGAATCTAGGTTGTAAGTATCTTTTGGAATGGCTAAGTGACTGGTAATTTTTAAGCTGATTGTTGGTTCGTTTGGTTTTTTTATTTATTTATATGAGTGTATACTTGAAGACACAACATATAAGTGGGCAGCTTATAATATTTCAGAAACAAATAAAGGTAAAACAGTTAGATACTGTATCTGCTGAATAAAAAGGTTTTTTTTAATTGCAACATGTCATGTCTGATACACTACCAGACACAATTAGGTTTCCCTAACAGCATGATGCAACAGACCAATTGTTTCCTAAAAACTGTCAGCTCTGTTTAAAAAGGTCTGTGCTACAAAATCTAAAACACTAGAGTTTTCTTTCTTTCTTTCTTTCTTTCTTTTTTTTGGCAAGTTTAGAATGAGTGATAGATGCTCAAACTTGCAGGAACATTTAATTACAGACTAGTCTTGACAAAACACTAGAAGAAGCAGTTTTTTTTAAATGAGCTATAACTCTTCCAGCAATAATCTAGATGACCATTAGAGGACAATAAAGAAATGCACAAAACGCAGGTTCTCTGCTACCCTCTACTGGTTGCTTTGGTTTTTGTAGCCTACATAGAGTCATATTTTCAAAGGTGTTGTTTTTTTTAAAAAAAAATATAGCAGGGAGATACTCTATAATTAAGTTATAGCATGGTTCTCAAAGTTTGAATTACCATATATAAAGCAAAAAAGCATTGACTTCCATCTCTTCTTGGCACAGTATAATAGGATAATAGCATACAACCTATAGTATCTAATCAGCAAGACCCAAAATCAAAGTTTCATTTTTTTCCCACCTCAAACACAAAATCCAGAAGCGGTTTCCAAGTAGAATCAAAATTTATTGTATTCTTTTTCTTTAATCAAAGCAGTCAATCTAGCTATCTCTGCTAATTTCATCAACTTTTGCAGCCGTTTGTTCTGTGTGGGAAACAAAGTATCCTTCTATTTTTGTGCATAGACTATTATTGCTGCTGTCAACAGCTCCTTCAACTCCTAAAAAAAATTGTGTGATCTGCAGCACAAACATTATGACTTCATCGATGTTAGAGCTGGGGAAC